TCCATGCGGTGAGACAGCAGCGCCAGAACAATGGTGAACTAGCATCAGGGCAGCACTGCAACCCCATGCGAGGTGGAAGAGAAGCACAGGTGAGGAGGAACTATTTATTTTGTAAAAGGCATAGCTCTAAATATATTTAACTAAAACTCCTAAAATATGAAACAATAAAATTGGAGGGGAGAGGCAGATGAGAGTATGCCATGGCTATTATTTTGTTAAATGGTAACAACATGGCTATTGATCTGTTTTCCTTATTGCTGGGAGAAAGTAACTCCAGGCTGAGTCAAAGTTACTCAAGGGAAATCTCTAGAAAAATAGAGTAAAATGTTTAACTTTTAAACAGCAGATGAAAATTTTCTGTATCTAATGACAAGTAAAAACAGTAAGAAAGCATGAAAATTATAAAATAGAACACAAGTCAGCAGACTTAAGTTCTAATATTAAAGTGGCCAAAGTAAATATAAATGGGTTAAATTCACCAATTAAGGACAAGACTCCCAGGGTCCTAAAAAGGTAAGATTTAGGAACAGGTTGACTAAATAAAACACATTTGGATAAAAGGATACAGAATGGCTAAAAACAAACAAAAAATAGAGAAAATAGACGCTATGAAGCAAAAAAGGGGGCAGTGTTGAATTTTTACTATCAGATAAAATTGAATTTGCAGTAAAATACATCATAAGCTTTAAGAGATGTGTTACAGTAAATTAAGAAGTTCTACTGATCCTGAACACTTATGTGGATAACAATTAAGATTTAAAATATATAAAACTAAAATTGATAGAATTACAGGAAAAACACCTGTAGCTTTTGATTTAATAATATGCTTTTAAGAATTAGTTGATAGGATAACATGTAAGCTGTGCTATGGAAAATGTGTATTTATATTGTTAATCTTTTAAAAATAGTTTATTTTTATAGTATTTGCCCATCACCATTTATCCTCTCTTCTACCTCCGCCCCAAACCCACCATCACCACACCACTGTCCGTGTCCACAAGAGTCTTACATAAATGAAAAACGTATGTAAATTTCATATCCAAATACAGAATGAGAGTGCTTTTGCATATGTGAGGAATATTTAAACACACTCATTTATGCATTAAGCTGCAAAAATCTTGAAAATTCTAAACAGCTTTCATATGGAATATCTTTTCTGACCAGAGTGTAATAAAGTTAGAATCCAATAACCAAAGGGTAACAAAATAAAGGTCCATATGCCTAGAAAGTAAAATATGTCACTAATAAATTTTGTTAAAGATGAAATCCGAAGAGAAAATAGATGTAAGTGACAACGACATCCTAAAGGCAAAAACTGTGACATGCAGCTAAAGAAATATCCAGAAAAAATTATGGCTTTACATAGAGTGCAAGAGTTATCAAATAATAAATGTAGTAAACATAACTAATTAATGCCAATAAAAAAAGGAAGGATGAAAAATAAAGATATTGGTAGGAAATGATAAAATAAGTATTTTTTAATTAAAAAAATAGGAATGTAAAAAATAACATTACAGATAAAATTCCAGGAAAAAACTGAAAAATAAAAATATTAAAATAAAGAAAAGAAAGAAGAAATAAGGAAACTAATTATAGATATTAAAAGTTTTAATACTTTAAAATTACCCTATAAAATATAAGTTCATAAATACAAACACACAGGAAATATATGAGAAATGTATTCTTGAGAAATGCAAATACAGAGTCCAGCACAATTAACATCTCCCCCTCTTTTTTTTTTTTTACAAAATCTTTTATTGCAAAATCTTAAGCATGTCATTCTGTAACATAACAATATTACACTCAAGCATGCCATATGACATTTTAGGTAAAGTGTTCAAATTAAAGCATAAATTATTATACCATGTTATAACCCTACCAACCACACTGAAGCAGGCCTTACTTCTGCTGGACCCCGTATATCAAAACTGGCCCGTGAAAAACTTGAAAATCGGAATAGAGTAACAGCTACTATAAAAGGTATTTAAACCCTTCCTCCACAAAGGCAGAGATGGTTTCATAGCTGAGTAATGAACGACAAACTTTCAGGGAACGGTAATTTCTACCTTATGCAAGTCATTAAGTCCCTCTTATTAAAGTTGTTTCTGAAAATAGAAAAATAATGAAACCTTGTTAACTTATATCAAAGCTAATGTAACCTTCGTGGCAGATGAGTAACACACTATTTAAGATTTCCTGTTACATGCAGATGGACGCTTCTATGTGACTGATAAGAAGGCTATAAAATTCTAGAGATCAGAAGAAGAATTGACTTAAAGAGCTATATTCCATAAGTTTGTACTAAAAGAGTCAATGTGATAAAAATGCCAATTTTCTGCAAATTAATTTACTAATTTAATATAATTACAATAAAAATTACAAAGAAGTTTTTTCCAAGGAGATTAATAAAGTAATATGTTTTCCTGAGTAAGTTGAAAAATAATTTCTGAAGTTAGATAGATATGATTTATTCCATCAGTGTTTAATATATATTCATATGATATTTCAGCAAAGAATGAGGAAATGGAACAGAATATGAAGATCAAAAGCAGTCCAGAGTGTAAAAAACACAAATTTTGTATCTAGTAATGCTGGCCCTCTAACCAGAGGGAAATGGGTAAATGAGCACTTAATATAAGGGCTAGCTGTCTTGTTAACTATTTGAAGAAAAATTAAGTTAAGGTACCTTTTTTGTTGTATACTAAAACATTCCGGTATATTCCTGATGACATTCACTCACTAAATATGTGACCTCTATTTGCCAAGGACTGTGCAAAGACTGAGGATGAGACAGCAAGTGGAACAGAGGAGCTGAAGGTCTACCAGGGAAGACACAGACCAGGCCAAGAGCAGGGCTCACTGAGATCATGTCAGTCTGAAGTCCTCTTCCAAATGGTGTGACCTGTACTTTTGCTTGAGATACTGTAATTAAGAGAACTCTCTGTGATATGAGACTCTGTACAGATTCCAATACAGTGTGACTATCCACCCTCTCCCCAGGTTTTGTGCATATCCTTATGAAAAACAGCTGGGTTATAGAGTATTTGGACACGTGTGTTAACCACATGCAGAAATGTAAAACTGTGACATGGGCACTGTGTAAGAGGCTGGGTAGGAGTGCCACACAGCTGCTACTTGGGGAAATCTCCTGAATATGTTAATGTTACCGATAAAACAAAAGAAAATCAGTAAATTAGAAGTGAAATGACGTGGCATTTGTTCTTAAAGTGGGGACAAACCTCCAATTCTTTAAAACCAAAATCAAAAGAAAACTACAGATTCAGTTATGCAGGCTAACGGCAAATCAGCTCTGCATACAGAATGGGCCCAAAGCACGAGGCAGCCTCCAGCCAGGCCTGCGACCACGTTCTGTGAACGGTCAGACAGCAAGTAATTTAGGATTTGCAGACACATGGTCCCTCTACCACCATTCAACTTTGCTGTTGCTGCATGAAAGCAGCCACAAACAATAAATAAATGGATGTCCATGGCTATGTTTGAATAAAACTTTATCTACAAAAAAGGCAGTGGGTTAGGTCTAGGCGATGGGTTATTGTTTGCTGGCCCTTGGTCTAGATCATGCAGTTGTCTATGTGATGGTGTACTCTTCAAATAATATTTATGGAGCACTGAGTCCTTGGCTCAATTTAGAAAATGAAGGATAGAACTTTCCACATAGTATTTCGGCATTTAGATTTCAGCTTCCATAAAAGAATGTGGACCCTACTTCCAGCTCAGTTTATCCACGAAACAACAGGGGCCATACTCACCTGGCAACATGAACGAGTTATACTATAGGCTTCTGCCAGGCCCTGGTCTCATAAGTGTACACTTGTCATAGGAATTAAAAAGGTAAGTCAACATATTAGGCATGTTAAGTATAATATCAGACTATAAATCTGACCTATTTATGACACATCAAAATTAGATATTATAAGTTAAGTTAGAAATCACAAATCTGCAATTACCAATCTTGTTTTCCATGGATAGGACATTTTTTCCCCCAATGCAGTCAAGTCCCTAACAGACCTGAAACCACAGAACAGTGGTTTCCCAGCCTCAGTGCATCAAGGCTATTGGGGGAAGGCTGTAAATAATAGCACGCTTGTCTTCCGCCGTGGAGGATGTCCCCTGCAACAACGAAGAATAAACTGCCTGCGGCCCCACTCATCACGAGGAGTTTGTGGTCATCTGCATGTGCCCCTCATGACCTATTCTTGGTCTTTTCTGACAACTCTTGCCTCGAGAGCACTGACCTCTCCAGAATTCGAGACCAGGTCTCCCAGACTGCCCTGCAGGCCTTGACCACTGGGAGACATCAGCAGGAACAGAGAAGGGTCTGGGTATACATCACCCTTGACCCGTTGGTGTAGTTTTTACAGTGGCTACAACTTACAAAGCTGCCGATGTTGAATGGCCCTCCTTCAGGAAGGTCATCTCTCTCTTCACCATTAAGCCAAAGACGGTAACCATGGCTGGCCGCTGCCAGGCCTGTGCACTTCACCGTCTACTAACTCTGTTCGAAGTTCATTCACTGAACTTTCTTCAATTAAACCATTTGGTTATGTCATCTGACTCTGTTGGGACCTTGTCTACTTTAGGAAAAGAAAAGAAAAAACTGTTTTAGAAATCACTGCCTTAAAGGAAAGCTTATTGCCAGGTCCCAAACTTCTGAAAAAAAAAAACAAAAAAAAAACCCTGGAAAAATATGAACTGAACTTACCATGAGAAGTGCACATTTAAGTTATCACTTGAAATTACGTAACAGACAAGTTGTAAGTTCTCACTACACAAGTAAAGTAACAAACATCTAAGTTAATGATGGTGGAATAAGATCCCCTTAAATTTTACCTTGAAATTCAATGTGACTCAGGGCAATCCATTATTAAAAAGCTCTATTTCACAAACTGATTATTCTTACTACATTTCTCAAACAAAAATATATACTTAACAATGAAATGGACAGGCACTGAAAAACACCTTGCAGAGCAGAGGCTCACCTCTTTGAACTTGTGGCTGAGCTTGGCTGTGTCCAGGTCCGACGGGGAGAACATGTCCTCGTTCTCAGGCAGCTCAAAGACTTCAATGGCCATGTCACCGCCAGGAAGGACAGGTCCTACCTCATCCTCCTCTTCGTCTGTGGCATATTCCCCTGTCTGAAAGGAAGGGGATTTCAGAAATCTGGCTGTCCTTACCCCAGGTGGAGATGGGCTATTTGGGAATATGTCACAAAGAGAAATAAAACATCACCAAATTGTAAAAGTGTAAGTGGGCTTTCAAGCCAAGCATGCCTAATGCAGCCAGTGTTATAAACAGATGTTAGTTCACACACTCAAAGGGACATGTACACGCGTGTACAAGCGCATTTCTAAAACTCTAATAGCGTCAGTGGCGTCTTTAGTATAGCGACAAACATTTTCAATCTAAGTATTTGATGGTTTTATTAAATAAAATTACATTGCTAACAAAAACAATTCCTTGAAATTCTCACCACCTGTGTGAGTAAGTCACCTGGTACTGGGGGCAGGGAAGAAGGAAAGGGAGGTCAAAAGACTCACAGAGTTGGCAGGGACCTCAATTACGCCCTGCAAAAGCTTAGCAGATTACGTCACCTAAGTTTTAGAGTTCAGTCAGTTCTGTTTCACTCATTTGTTTAACTGGTGTGGTTAACTAGTGACCTAAAGGGTAATCCAATGGTTTCTAAAGTAACATCCCACACGGGTGTATTGCCTTCCTGTGGAGGACTTTGATAAAGCTCAATATCTCACCAATGCTTAAAAAAAAAATCATGTATTCTAGATCACCAGTTTTTCTTGAGAAAGCCAATGATCTGGCAGTATGATAATAATGTCATGGTAATAACTGGCCCTGGTCAGCAGTGGCTGCCCCTTCTGGGGGGGCACCACGACTTCTGCAACTCCGCATTATCCTATGCCATTGGGGTCCCCCTTTCATGATACTTGCAGGGCCCCGAAAGCGTCTGAGTCTATAACCCCTGAGATAAACGTTCCTCCTGACCACTAACCTCCTTAACATTATTAGGAGGTGGCTCTGCTCCTGGCAGCACCAGGCTATGAGATGCTAATCAAAATAACTGTTTCAAATCTACACCTTATGATGCAACGTAAAGATAGATCACTGATTCACAGGGTTGAAAAAACTAAGTTCATTTAATTCATCTTTGTTCCTTCAGGTAGTTTGATCTAATACATAAAACAGATAAGAATTCATATTGCCTTAAAAACTTTCATAAACAGTATACTGAGTGATCTATTTCTTTGATTAAATAGGCTTAGCATCTGATTGCTGTTTTTTCTTTTGATTCTGTACTATGTTCTTACTAAGGCTGAAACTCTTATTTCTTGTCCCATGTTTGCATATGAAGGAAATACCATCATTAACCTCGATGTAATAACTCCTCATGTCTGGAAGACCATTATTAAATTGCCCTTCTGACTTTTCCTTTTCAAGCAAACCAATTCTAGTTCTCTCACAGGTCTCATTCTCTGCGATTCTGGATTCTGATTCTCTGAAAGTTCCCCTCATTTTTCTTAAATCATAGGGCCCAGCAGTAGACATGATTTCTATGTGACATGAGATCTAGTAGACATGACAAACAAACTGCCCTGGCATTCTTCAGGCTCTGCTTCCCGAGATGATTATCATGAAGACTTTGACTTCGGTGGTATTTGTGTATAATTGCATCTGGAAGTCCAGGGCTCTTTAGAAACCAGTTCAAACAACGTCCAAGCTATAACAATACCGTCCCAAGTGTCCTTGGCACTGACTGGGGAAGGTAGCAAAACAGTGAGGGCTGGATGGTTCCAGACAGCTTTCATTTGTTGGTATGATTAGATCTTCCATATCTTAAAAGAACTCTGATTCCGGATTTGATTCTTTTTTGTGGTATTCTGTAAATTAATTCATTTCCTACTTACACATACAGCAAGGTCTGTCTGGAAAAAGTCCAGCCATTGCTAATATAATAAGAAGAGTTTGAACAACACTGATGTAATGTGGCAGCCAAGGAGAGTGGACTGGAATGCACATGTGTGAACAATGATGACTTCACTGTACTAGTCAGTGGGAGTGATAGACGCCCTCGAGTGAGTGATGCACTGTGTGGCCATCATATTCAAAATGACTGAGCGAGTAAAGCAACAACTCTGCATCAAATTTTGCATGAAGCTTGAACATTCCTCCATGGAAAGTACTGGGATGACTCAGAAGGCCACAGCTATGGGCAACTGGTGATTGGCAGCTTCATCACAACAATACACCTGCTCATGTATCACATCTTGTGCAGAGTTTTTTAGCAAAATGTCAAACTGACCAGGTGACTCCACCGCCCTCCAGCCCAGATTTGGTGCCCTGCAACTTCTGGCTTTTCCCCAAACTAAGATCACCTTTGAAAGGGAAGAGACGTCAGTCCTTCAATGAGATTCAGGAAAATACGACAGTGCAGCTGATGGTGATTGGGAGAACTGTGTGAGGTCCCAAGGTGCCTACTTTGAAGGGGACTGAGGTGTCATTGCCCTATGTACAATTTTCTTGTCTCTTGTTAAATAAATGTCTCTATTTTTCGATATTCTATGGTTGGATACCTTCTGGACAGACCTTGTATATTTAAAACCAACAGGAACTTTGTAATTCCAGGTGATAGGTGATGTTAATCAGTAGGAATGTAGCTAGGCTAGTGCATACACATACTCAAGATAGCTTGCTGAAAGTTTTGATATAGAGATATAAAACCCAATGCTTGTTTTTAACCCTATAATTACAAATAGAACCACAGCAGCACTTTTATCATGAAGGCCTAAACCAGGCATATAAAATTTATTTCTATATCATCAATTTGGTGAATATCATGAATCACTCAAAATCTTAGGCTAAATTTAAAGTCTGATAATGAGGTGGTACATGATAAACATAAGAGCTGAAGTGAACAACTGTGTTTCCCTTTGCCAGCTTAAAAATAGATTCCTCTTCACTATGTGCAAGGTAATCAATAAAAATACAGGGTGGGGCAAAAGTAGGCTTACAGTTGGACAGTCATTCATACGGAAAATAATACAATAATTAATAAATGATAATATAAAATAAACTCATTTCTCATTTTGCAAAACACGGAGTTTATTCTTGTATTATTATTTATTGTATTATTTTCCATATGAACAGCTGTAAACCTACTGTTACCCCACCCTGTACATGTTCAAGATGGGACCTGACATAGAATCTCAACAAATGTGTTTTTTAAAAATAAATCCAAGAATGCCAATTGTACTTACTTGCTAATATTTATAACCTCCTAAGGAGGTTTTCAATGCTATCAAGAATATGCACTGGGGAGTCATTTGTTAAAAAGGGAGTATTTTGTCACATTATTTTTTTTTAATACTCCTTGTACTGAATAACAGAATTAGTGTATACACAAGGTATGCAATTCTCACCACTACATATAGTTCTGGCTTCGTTACCCACTTTAGTTATCAAAACTATCTCCACAAATTTAAGTCATTAAGAACGTTCCTCTTGCTTCTTTTATGTTTGACTTTGCCAGTTTCCTTTCCATCTCAGTATCTTAATTACCTGTAATTCTGCCAAAATTCTTTTTTTTATTTTTCATTTCATCTTTTTATCTCCAATGCACAAAAATGTACAAAAAAAGCAGTTGCTACAACAAAATATTTCTACTGATATCCAGCTCCTTATCTCTACTTCTGGCCAGATTCAACATCTTTCAAGTAAATGGAGACTCTTGGAAGTTCTTTGCCCCAACCTGCAAGTCCACTTTAAATGAGGCAAGAATAGTCCGTCATGTGAGAACTGACGGAGATAGTAAATGTTCGGTACTATCTCTGCATTTACAATCTCCTTGTCTAGCTGCTACATTACTATTTTATACAAGATCTGTCCAGAGGTATCCAGCCATGTACTATGAAAAGTAGAGATATTTATTGAAGAAGATACAAGATAGATGAAATACTGTGCATAGGACAATGATGCCTCAGTCCCCTTCAAAGTAGGCACTTTGGGACCTCACACAGTTTGCCCAAATGTCATCAGCTGGCCTGTTATGTTTTCTTGAATCTCATCAATGGGCTCAAAAATCTGCCCTCTCAAAGATGATTTTAGTTTTTGGAAAAGCCAGAAGTTGCAGGGTGTCAAATCTAGGCTGTAGGGGAACTGAGTTACCTGCATGAGACATGATGCATGAGCAGGTGTGTTGCTGTGATGAAGATGCCAATCACCAGTTGCCTGTAGCTGTGGCTTTCTGAATTATCCCAACAGTTTCCATGGAGGAATGTTCAAGCTTCATGCAAAATTTGATGCAGTTGTTGCTTTATTTGCTCAGTCATGTTGCATATGACAGCCACACAGTGCACATGCTCATTCAATGGCATCTACTGCCCCCACTGACTAGTACAGGAACGTCATCACTGTTCAAGCATTCACATTCTAGTCCACTCTCCTTGGCTGCCAGGTTACATCGATGGTGTGCAAACTGTTCTTGTTATATTAGCAATGGCTGGACTTTTTCCAGACAGATCTTGTACTTTTTAATAGCTTCCCCAAAAGGAGAAAATATGAGTAACCATTATTTTGTAAGTTACTCTGTGCCCAACGCTGTACATTCCTAAAAAACTGTAGTACTATGCCACCTTAATTTGAGGAAACAGACTCAGAGACTTTGCCCAAGATCAGACTGTTAGTGATGTTCTTGAGGATGTGTCTAATATATTCCACAGCCCATGCTCCTTTTTTTCTGCTGCCTGCAGGACACACAAACTAAAGCTTTGCGGAAAACAAAAAAACAAACCAGAAATACACTCCTTTCATTTTTCCCCAAGCAACATCCTAGTGCATAATCCTGTTGTGTGGCAATTTCCCTTCCACATCTTTGAACATTATCATTCAGTTCGCTTTGAAGATCTTGAGGCGTGTCTTCAGTGAGCTGCAAAGTTCTGATCCTCTCCCTTTTTCTCATAGCGCGCTCACCCTGGGCAAGTGCACAGGGATCTTCAAAAGATTTGGCTTATGGGTTGGCTGATGTTTCATGTACTCTTTCTTTTTTAAAAAAGGAATTTTAAAAATATGTGTATTGATTTTAGAAAGAGAGGAAGGAGGGGGAAGAGACAAAGAGAAACATCAACTG